TATGTACATGTCTGCCTGGCACCTTGGTCACTACTCTCACAGGCATGAAGATGGGCTTAACAGAAATGTCTCTGTCACACTGCCACCATATTCCCTTTTTGGAAGACTTCACTCAGCAATGGCACACAAAGCCATCTATTGTACAGTAAGAAAGGTAGTAAAAAAAAAAAAAGAAAGGAAGGAAGAAAAGCAAAAGCAGTGGGCACTTGGCACAGTGGCTCACAGTTCAGTCACCATTTGGAGTATTTCAAACAGCAGTGTCTAGTTTGAACTGGGCCACTCTGTTCCCATCCAACTTCCTGCTGGAGAGGTGACAGCTCAAGTACTTTGGTCCCGACCACTGGCATGAGAAACCCAGAGCCAGCCCTGACTTTTTCAGGCATGCGTGGAGTGAACCAGCAGATGAGCAATATCTCTCCATCTCCATCTCCCTCTCTCTTTCTCTGACTTTCAAATAAAATTAAAGCAAACACGATTTTTTAAAGGAGGCAAACATATGCTTTAACCATAGCTCAATATATTCCATATATTATTCTTATTCAGAAAGAATCATTGTTCCATTTTAAAATGAATGTAGCGTCTATTCCCACTAAAGGCAACCCATAGGGAACACACTCTAACATGATTCAATATAATAACTATAGGGAACAGCTTAAGGAACTCCAGTCATCACTTCCCCCACTGGCACCAGGACTCCTGAGAAATCATTCTCTCGGTGCTATTACTTACATCATGGGTAAGTGGAGACAATCCAGTTGAACAAGTGCTAATAACTACATTCTACAAGTGAGTCATGATGATATTTACACCTAAAAATGCTGGACCCTCTGCTTCTGGAATGGGTCAGAGCAAAACACTGTGAAATCCTCACCAGATAGCTTTGAATGTTACCATGTTCTCAACCGTCTGGAATGCCACATATACTGTCCTGACCAAAGTCAGGATGTCAGATCATGTGTCAGGCATTTGTTTCATTATCCAAGGCATCCATCTCAATTTTTTTCTGATGGTCTCTGTCACCACATCATAGCAACACAGGCAGGCAGATTTTCATACAGCTGAAGGGTGTACCCAAGGGGACGGGGCTTCACACACAAGCCACCCAGCATCTACAATGTTTACTTGTTGAGCACCTCAACGGGCTGACAACTCATAAGAGACAGAAAACCAAAACAAGGATACTCACAAACTCAACACCCCAGGCAAAGAATATGCTAACGATAGCGGGATGTATAACTACATATAGGTTCTAGGCAAGAATGGGTTGGTAGCGTGAATGGGCAGAACTGTTCCAGCTGGGGAGAGAAAATATGACTGTTTGTCAACTGTGAAGCTCATTTCACTGAGCACCTAGGGTGCAAGGCATTGAGGATAGAAAGATGATGATAGGGCGAAAGTTCAGCACAGCAGTTGTGGACGCTGCTTGGGATGCCCACATTCAGTAGCTCAGTGTCTGACTCCAGTTCCAGCCCTGCTTTCAACTCCAGCTTCCTGCTTGTGTGCACAGCCTTGGAGACAGCACCTGACAGCTGAAGTAGTCGATTCCCTCCCACCCACATGCTAGGCAAGAGCTGCTGGCTCTTGGTTGCAGCCTAGCCCAGCCTCGACTGCTGAAGGTATCTGAAATTGAATCAGTGGGTGGGAGATCTCTCTGTACCTCTTTGTGATTTTCTCTTTCTGCCTTTCAAACAAAAGGAAAAGTGGTCAATCAATGAATTTTGGGGGAAAAAAAAACAGATAAATAGATGAAGCCATGGCCCTTTCTGCAACTAAAAGAACAGGTGAGTAAGTGCTCACCTGGAAGTGTGTGTGGGGGGGGGGGCAAAGGTGGTAGGTAGCAACTGACAGCAGAGAAGCATAACAGCATGTCCTCCACAGACTGTCTCTCCTTCCTTATGTGACTTCTATACCCTTCTTCCAAAGCCAACTTTGTCTCCCACAGAGCTACGCAGAGCTCATTTTAGGGTCTGCTTCTGGGATAATTCAGACACAGAACTATAAATGTATTTTTGTATGTGTATTTATAGTCAAGGTACATGTGTCTGTGGATGTGTGTACAAGTAAGTGTGGTTATTGATACAGACACAGAAACATAGGAATGTGTTATCATATAAACACAATCAGTTCTCTATATCCAGGAGTTCAACCAACCAGAAGTCAAAAAATGTTCAAAATCATTCCATCTGTGGTAAGCACAATCTTTGTCTTGCCATATTCCCTAAGCAATAGACTATTAATGAACGATTCTATAACATTTAAATTGTATGAGGTATTATCCATAATCTGAAGATGATCCAAAGTACACAGGAGAACTGTAAAAGTTAAATGTAAATACTACATCACTGTATATCATGGATTTAAGCATGCATACCTTTTGGTGTTCACAGAGAGCCCTCCCCCAAAAGAACATACAGTAGGAACAACATACTATATACTGTCAAGCAAGAGAATGGGACGATACAAATGTGCAAATGCTTAAACGTGCTTATATCTCTACAGAGAAGTGTATTTCAGAATGTTTGTGGAAATGCAATGAAAATATTTTGATAGCAAAATTTTGAAATCCATGCATAGCTTTTTCATAATACTCATTTTCCATGAACTTCTTGAATAGCCCTCAAGAAATATCAATATCTTTTTTTTACTTAAGCTGGGGAGGTTTTTACATGCCACCCTGTTCTGCAAGGGGAACCTACAGCCTACCACTGAGCAATCCTCCCTGCCATTTCCCTAGGGAAGCATTAGCCTCACTCCCGCCCTAGCTAGATGCCCTCTCATTGGGTGAGATGGCACCTTACTCCTCCAGGTACCATATGCACCTAAGCCTCCAAGCCAGCTGCTGGGCAGAGCTGGCATCACACCTTGTGGCAGCACAACATCTCTCCAAGGTTGTCACCCTCAAGTCCAGGCCACTTACTGTCAGGAGAGTTCTTTTTTGTTTCTTTGTTTGTTTTTGTTTTTGTTTTTAGTGCAGCACATCAAAAGACAGCCAAAATAAAATACTAAAATCCAAGTTATTTTAGAACAATCCACTACAAGAAAACTGACACCTCCGACTGTTGTCTTCGTGTAAAGAACTGCCCATATGACACTCCTCCATATCCAAGTCCACAAACATGTCCTACCCTTAATAAGATTAATCAAAGCCATTAGCTGAGCATGCAGAGAACTAACCCAAGAGAAGTCACCAAATGGAAAAGCTTGAGCAGGTAACACAGTATTGTGGTTCCTTCTTTTTTCAACCAAAATTGAGTGCAGGATTTCCAGAGCCCTTAACGTGGCCCTCAGGTGTGTCTCATACAACACATATTCTAGCTCAAAATACGTGGAGATCCAAATGCTTTCAGTGTGTGGACAAGATGACCCTCCTAGACAATCCTAAAGCTCATTTCCAGTACGAGGCAACCCTGAATGTCACAGGTGGAATGGCAGGGGAACTCTCCATCCTCCTCCCACTTTATACATTTCCTCCCCAAGAAGGCTCAGCTGCCTGACCTTGGCACGCCTTTGTCAGAAGACAGTTTACTCAGAGACACGTTTAAAATTTCCTACTGAAATACGCCTTGGGTTTCCTCAGTTGGCTCCCAAAAGAACAAAATTAATAACAAAAATTATCAGAAAATATTATAGCTTCCTCTGCAGAAGCAATAAAACCAGGAGAGGGGCAATATTAAATGGCAAAGAGAAATCATTTACACAAGAAAGCTATTGAGTTGTGGGTAAAGAGGAAAAACATGGAAATTGAGTTGAAAAATACATACTCGTGTTCATTTTCATTAGTAAATGATTCTTGGGTTTCTATAAACTGTATATATGTTATTTTCATATCCTAGTGTAAACATTTTATATCAAGATGTATAGCTACATATGACTCTGCTTTTTCTCCTTCTCATGTTCTGCTCCCATATATAAATACCATCCCTTTTCGGTCATGCTTAATCTGGACTCACTAGGCTGGGCACATGTGTGCTGTAGCAGGGATAAAGATTTTAAAAGACTCAAGTGCGATGATTGACGATACTCCACATCGGATTCTGCTTTGGTGCAACCGGGATTCTAGACTTCCCCCATGGATTTTCCTTTTCAGATTCTGAGATGCATTTCGAGGCACCAATAGCCTGGAAAATGCATGTTCTTTATTACAAATGACTTTTTAATATGTTGTAATAACTCCTTACTGTAAATAACTTGGAGCAGTTGATTAAGACTAGATTTCCCTCTACCACCACTAAATTTTTTACTCCAAGTTTAGAAGACATTAGCAAAAAAGATCTCTAAAACTGTAACCAGTTTCTTTTTTTTTTTTTACTGCTTAACACTCTGAAGATGTCCTTAGCACAGGGGTTAAAAAATGAACACACTTAGAAAGATACAAGTCTGGCTTTCTCTGAGTACTCCCAACTCTTCCTGCAACCCATCCTGTAGGGGCAGGCTCCTCCTGTCCATTCCCCTCACCTGTAAGTGACCAGCTTTCTTTCCACTGAATATACTGAAGCCACGCTGTGCTCAGGCCCATCTGCTTCTAGAATTCAACATCTGCCAGAAGTTCCTCTGACTCACGGAACAGATAATCCATAGTCTTCCAAAAGGAGGTGATGTGGAAGAAAATCAGCCTCTCTTCCTTGCTCTTTACTGCACCAATTTTCCACTGTGGGTGAGGATGCCCGCCAGGGGACACTGGGCAACCACTGCACTGTTGGTAATACAACGAGGACGAAAACTACAACTAGAACCCATTGGATCAAGGTGAGGAATGCTGCTGAACACACTGCAGAATACAGCATCACCCAGCCCAGAGCACCAATGGCACAGAGGCTGAGAAGACTTCCTCTGGTGGAAGAGCCTTCCCTTAGTTCCACCCATGGAGAAACTGAGGTTTCTACTAAGAGGAGAAGGAGAGGAGACTGAAAGAGCTGAGGGGAGGAGGAAAGTGAAGTGACTGCTAGCAGCAATGACCCAAAGGATCATCCGTAGAGTCTGCACAGCAGGACTTACCACACAGGAACACTTGGTACATTTGCTTCCTTCCGGCTGAAATTCCTCTCCTTCTCGGTACTGCACACCCTCAAATACACAGCCTGAAAAGCAAAGAAAGGTTCAGAATTAGGCTCAGCCTTCACGCAGGTGGGTAGGATCTGTCTGTGCACTGTTCAGTCACCCTCACTTTCCACAGGCACTTCTACCCAGCAGGGGGTTCTCTTTAACCAGTGCACAAGACTACTTGATGGTAAACTCCACTGGCAACCAGACCCCAGGAGACCAGAAAAGGCAAAAGGTAGGCCTCAGGAGGAAGGCTGTCAATGACAACGTAAAGGACCTCAGAATCACCAATGATGACTTCCCAGGAACAAGGCAGCCTCTTCCAGGTCCCATGAATTCCCAAGTTCACTCCATCTGCTCAGTGTTTTTCCAAAGTGGGGACTTGTCACCTTCTCCACAGATGAGAAAACATCTCAGAAGCAGTCCAGCCAGCTGGCACAGCTGGGATTTGAACTCAGTTCAGACCCACTCCCGTACACTGTGCAAAGGGCTAGAAAGGACAGAGGAAGGACAAGATGTGCCACGTGGATTTTCAGCCCTACATTTTGCATGTTCAAAAGGCTGTGTTGCCTACCAAGTGCTAGTAACAGGATGAAACATCATGAAGGTGTTTCCTATTTGGTCAGGTACTGAGAACACCACCATGCTCTAGAGTCCGTATAAATGGCTCGAAGCATAGGCTGCTCAGAGATCATGTGTCCCTCAGGTCCAGGGAGGACTCAGCACATCCTCACACAGCGTTGGCCAGGCTAGCTGACGCCACTTTCCACAAAGCAGACAGTGCCAAAGTAGAGCTACTAATGTCCAGAACTGGGCAAAGCAGGCTCTTGGGAAGAACCGACAATCCATGTTTCAGGACTTCCAACTGTCAGCAGATCCCACCAAATTCTTGTAGCTGCTAGTTCTTGACCAGGGAAAATAAGCACTCACCCTGACCTGACCACTGGCCCTTTATCTCACAAAGCTGGATACGGAGGCCTTTGTTCAAAGGCCAAAGAGTCAGAGGTCATTGAGTCTGATGTTGAACAGCGGTTTTGTGAAAATATCCCAGGGAAAGGATGTTTTGGATACCCATACCCGGAGCTAAAAATCAACCGCCTCCTTGTCGTTCCCAAGGATGTGGGAAGACTTGGCAAGCCTGGGTCCCTCCAAGTGGCTGGATCCCAGCAGTGCTCCTAATAGCAGATGCCCGGTCACCTCTTTTCAAAGAAATCTTCCAACAAAGTGTTTTCAAGTCTTTCATACTTCTTTGCATCTCTGCTTCTCTTATAGATGCTCAGACAGACTAACCACAGCAATCTACATGTGACAACTTAAATAATGGAATTTCAACAGAAATTTCTACTCCAAGTGTCTGTATCACAACTCACCATCCTTAAGCAAAGAGTCAGATGAAAAGGAAGAAGCAGACGACCAAGAATGCCCTGCAATCTGTTTCAGGAAGAAACTGACCACAGACTGTACATGGTTGTCATTACGCAGAATGCCATTCCCTGATCAATGACAGATGTCAGTCCTTCCAACTTGCCACAGAGAATACCCCAAGGCTTCCTCTCATGATCCCCACGTACACTCACTTGAGGCTGCCCTCCCAAGACAAAGAATGATAACAGAGGGATCTACAAGTTCATGGACAGTGCATATTATGAAAAAGTTAAGCAAGATACCATACCAAAAAAAAATGACACCAAAATGAACTTCATCTTTTAATTCTATTTTCTCACATACTTGTCTTGAGTACCATAGTAGTTTCTGGCAGAAACTTCTAAATCTGACAATGTGTATCCCAGTCCTTTGGCACTTGGGGCTGGGAAGAGGTATCAAAGTTGGCCTCATCATTGACTTTTGTACAAAGCCTGGTCAGGTACCACAGGTCTCATGTTTGTCACTGATATGCTAAGTTTTAAAGAAAATTTGCCTCTCAGAACCAAGGCAGAATAGTTCTTATGGGGAGTAGAGGAGCAGAAGATAATACAAGAGGATGATGACAAGCAAAGAGAAGGGATCCCTTTGGCCCTTACTCACTCATGGAATTGAGGCAAGCATTAATTCTCACTGGGTCTGACTTCCTCCCACAGAACAGCCTGCAGTCCCTCGTCCCTCCCTAGGTGAACATGAGGGATTCAGTGCTGCAATGCATGGAGCTCAGTCCTTTCCTTCCCAAGAACTTAATCACAAACAGCATGAAAGCAGCAACTGCTCAAAAATGAAAAACGCTTCACTTGCTGAAATAATTGCTGTCATCTGTGAAGCCATCCTCTCAAAGGCAGCCAAAAAATACAACTCTCTCCCTAGTGCAAGAACGTTACCTAGGGTGAGAGATGTTCCATTTCAAGGGCTTCCCTTCATTACCACTGTTCCCTCAGAGTTGGGAGTGAGAGCGGGGGCAGCTCTGATGGCATCTCTACAAAGCAATGGTCTAATTAACACAAGTGAATTCATATTGAAGAGCTATGATACTTTTTAAAATCTATATATCATGCAAAAATTTGCTCTGTTATCCACCCCAAGCCTGGCTGTGTATGCTGTAGGCCTGGGTGACACAGGCAAGGATTCTAATGGAACTGATCTAGGATGCAGCCAAACCGGCCAGGCATCAATGTTTCTTTTTGTCAAGTTTCCCAGGTGATTCAGGTATGCCACACAGAGGACCACTGATCCAACTTACTAAAGATGCTATGGACATGTAAGGATATGATTACTGGACAGAAAACATTTGGCATTGTTTGGAGGGAAAAGGGACTCGTGTAATACTATTTCACAGTCACAAAATAATTGGATCATGGAAATGATCCTCTTATGTTTCACCACATTTTGGTCTTTGCATAAATGTTTAGCTAAACAAGCGTTGTAGAAATCCCACTGTAAAAAGGAAGCTACAGACAGGTGCTTGGTGTCATAGTTAGGACACCACTTGGGAGACCTGAATCCATGTCAGCTTCATTCAGATTTCAGCTTCCATCCAATGTGTATCCTTAGACACAGCAGATGACAGTTCAAGCAAGTGCATCCCTGCCATCCATGTGTAAGGCATGGATTGGGTCCTGAGTGCCAGGTTTCAGCCTGGCCCAGCCCCAGTTGTTGTAAGAATTTTTGAGACGATTCAAGACTGAATTCTGAAGAGGCCAGTGGAGAAGGAATTCGGGTGTGCTAAGCCCCTACCATGGAGCCTCAGGAATCTCTCAGCAAGGACAAAAGCTGACCCCTTGGAGATTCACATCAAGAGGGGGACATAGCTGTCAGATCAGCTTCACAAGGAAAATGACTCTTAGAAACCACAGAAAAGGCTGGCCTGTGTGAGACAGTCAGCTGGTAGCAGGAAAGGTCTGAAAAAAATTGTTTTGTGCTCACTTAAAAGTTACCAGGCTTGTAACTAAAGGCATGAAAAGGTGTAGGAAGCCATGAAAAGGTGCCATCTTGTTAAGGGCAGGCAGAGGAAATGTTTCCAGCCACTGGAAAGGAACGATGCCCTTGCTGTCAGCAGGGCAGCAGGGTGCTCTAGAAAAGCCAGTAGGTCCAACTGGTGGAACCACATGGAAAATGGACAGCAGCAAAACCCCAAGCTGAATGCACTCGGGGACACAGCACTCAGTTTTCAGAAAACATCTGGTCACCTCATCACCATGGTGAGCTCCAGCCAAGGAACTGCAATACGAAGCAGTAAAAAGACTTTTCTGGAAGCCAGCAGAAGCCACGGCCTTGCCTTCCAACATAAGCGTTACTTGTGGCCCTGCGGGGTAGGAAGCAGGCCTCCCGAGCCTGAGGAGTCCGCATGCCAAGACCTACAGCATGTTGTATTCACACAGGGCATGGGCAGGAGGCTGGGCCGATGTCCCTATGCAAAGGAGTCTGCTCTCTACACCCGAGGATGCAGAGGTGAAGCGAGGAAATTTCCACTCAGGAAGAGATGGGAGTCATGCACTCTTGAGAGAACACAGATGGCCCTCTCCTCCCTGAAGACCTTACCTGGGCATGTTGGGCAGCAGGCTCCCGGCTGCTCCAGAGGGTTCCTACAGTGAACAACACAGCGCACCTCGGCCTCTGTGACAACGCCCTCCTGGAAAATACAACTCCACAGTCAGTTGGCTCCGGGTTCCTTCTGAGAAGGTAGGACATTTGGAAAAGTAACCAAGATTGGTGGAATCTGAACTCTCCCCACCAACACCCCTTCCCTGCCACCAAAATGCAGGTGTGGCCAAGGGTCAGGCCGGAGACACACCCAGCATGACTGAAATGGGGACCCAGCTCTACCCACTGACTCCCTCTCCTGACCCCGTCCAGGCCTTAGCACACCTTTCCTCTAACGCCTGGCCTGGCTTCCTCTTTCGAATCCTCCTGTATTTCTATCACTGATGTATTACACTTCCAGTCATTAATTGGGAGGCATGAATACAACAGTATAATAGCCCAGAAAACCATGGATTGTTATCTGCAGATGATTCCTCCTCACCCTGCTAGTAATAACTAGAATAGCTCTACTACCTTAAAAATACACCTCTGCCTGTGTGTCAAGTTTTTGATGTTTTTCAAGCATTAAGAGATAATTTTAAGTCCATATTTGGCAGGTAAAAATAGACTTGAGATCTTAATAAATTCAAGTGAAACTGTAAAGTGACCTTGGGACTGTATTATCATTTAATGTCAACTGAAACATTTTAAAGTTAATATCACTTCCCGTGATAACTTCCATTCCATTTCTTCATTCAGACAGTAAAAGTTAATCCTTGCCCACATCCCTGCAGTGTAAGGATTGTCCTCTGACTGCTATATAAAAATGGTAAATTTGTCTGCAAAGAACAGGAGGCTGTCATAAATGACAGAGTCTGGGGCCACAACTTCCAGGGCTGAAATTTCATTGCTTAAGAGGCAGGGTATACGGGAGTAGAACAAACTATAGAATCAATGTTATTGAAAATCTCATTTCTTTGTACCTTGAGGTTGAACTAATGGAAACTCTAGTGTAAAAGTTCAATATTATTTATGTGTTCTACCTACTACATATTTTCACAAAAAGCTTAGACTACATGCATAAGCTGAATATCCAACTGCATAAATAACTGACGGTCTCAGCAATAAACACATCTATTTGGTGACATAATAGAGTATGATTACATGAAACTGAGAATTGAATAAACTGAATGTCAATATGATTGAGATAAGATCAGAGAAAACACCCATTATTAAATTAACCTTTCAATCTTATTTCACTGCAAATGCATCTCCTTGGAGGGTGAAATGGGGTGAAGAATAAAATGATTTAAGGGTAACTTCCCTAAAGACAAGAATGTTCAAGTTAAATCAAAATTATATGAGTATTATTGTTTTTGCAAGAGTGTTTCTTTAGTGATAAGAGAGTTTGAAAGCTCACGTTCTTTACAGTCCCTTTGCTTTATCTTGTTGTTTAGTACCTGCAGCAATTAAAGCCATGTGAAATGGCTCCTCTTTTTGGGATTCAGCAAGGATCAGCCACAGCTGGCTCCTTAGTTGCTCCACAAGAGCTTCTTAAATTATCCAGGTTGAAGTCCTTGAGGTCACAATATACTAATTGCCTCGATTTAATACAGCTTATAGATTGGCCACAGTCCAAGATCTTTCTAAATCAAAAAAGGAAAACATATGTCATCTAACAATACCTCTTTTTTGTTAACAAGAATTCATGTTTTACTCAAAGTTGATTTCACAGGAAGACAAATTTTCCCCAAGGAAACGGGCAGCTTCCTGGAGTCTTTCCAGGCACAAGCTAACGATGGTGGACAGTTCCACTGTGTGTTTCTGGAAGTAGACACTATACCATTCCTATCCTGTACCCTGTATTGTTACAGTGAATGACACAGTGGAAGCATGCAAAGACGCAGTTGGCTTTCCATTTGCTTCTCATTTTTGTTTTGGAGAGACTTCACTCTGTGTTATCTGACGGAGACTGCTGAGAACTCCAAGGACTCTTTTTAACTGGAAAATGAAATAGTTGGCCTTTACCTGGCACTGGCGCAGGACACAGGGCTCAGCTGGGCTCTGCCATTTGAAAGAGCTGTTGTAAGTATTTCCTTCATAGGTGCAACCTGCATGGGAAACACAACAGTGGGAAGAAAAGTCAAGAATAAATGTGGAAGTGCCTTCATTTTGGGAACACAAGAAGTTACGTCTTCCAGGCCAAGTCTAGCAGTTGGCAGCGCAGTCATACTCACTGACTGCTTTCCCCCAAAATCCTACTAAGCCTTCTAAGTATGCACTTGGCATTCACTGACATTAATTCTTTGGCTATTGAGAAGATTAACTTCATGGATTAAATTTTCAAATGGCAAATCACAGATTGATGAGCTCTCTTGGCCAAAATGCATAACCTCATAAATTTATGCACAATAAGGTATAAGCAGTATGCAAGCTAAAAAGCATCACCACAAAAAGGGATCTTACAGGAGACTAAGATAATTCAAAATTGCTGAAGATTAGGAAGTTTAAAACATGCAGGAAATAAAAGCATAAAATTGAAATGTAGAAGAAACAGACTGTAAAATTTTACATCTATCTAAGACTGTTAAGAAATACATTGGTGATGGGGAGGGTGCAGCATGATAGCCTAGAGGCTAAAGTCCTTGCCTTGCATGTGCCAGGATCCCATAAGGGCACTGGTTCTAATCCCAGCAGCCCCACTTCCCATCCAGCTCCCTGCTTGTGGCCTGGGAAAGCAGTCAAGGACGGCCCAAAGCCTTGGAACCTTGCATCCACGTGGGAGACTCAGAAAAAGCTCTTGGCTCCTGATTGGCTCAGTACTGGCTGTTACGGTCACTTGGGGAGTGAATCAGCAGATGGAAGATCTTCCTCTCTGTCTCTCCTTCTCTCTGTATATCTGACTTTGCAATAAAAATACATAAATATTTTAAAAAAGAAAAATACTTTTGGGCCCAGTGAATAGCTCAATTAGCTAACTCTCCCCTTCAAACACCAGGATCCCATACGGACACCAGTTTGTTTCCCTGACTACTCCACTTCCCATCCAGCTCCTCACCTAAGAGGATGGCCCAAAGCCTTATGACCCTGCACGTGAATGGGAGACCTGGATCCTTTCCATCCTGATTAACTATGTAAACAACACTTAAAATTCTAAAATTATAACACACACACACATTTTATATATATAAATAAATATATATATTTATTTTCATATATGTATATATGAAATAGCCACAAAAATAACAATGTGAAGAGCACAGACTCAAACCTGGACACAATTTATACAAATTACACCCTCCACACTGCAGTTGACACTTCCTAGATGACACACCAGGTTATACCTGTAGGTAACTGAATTCTTACGTGCCTATCAGACAGATCAATTAATAGTAATATGGATTACTGAAGCTAAAAAATACCTATAAAGTAGAGCAACAAGCACATGGGGAAATGTAAAAAAGTGGGGGGGAGGCAGTGGGCTTGATTTTGTTTTAATGACTGATATCTACCAAACCAATACATTCAAGCAGAATAATACAGGACTTAGGAAAATTTCAATAGATGTTTCCACAAACTGAGAACCATGATCTGAATTCCCAAAGAAATGTGAATGATTACAAAAGAGCTCAATGCTACTCGGCTCTCTAGTTCCTACAAATCAAATTACTAAAGTACACAGCTGATTGGAAACACATTAAGGCAATGCTTTCACTATATATTTTTAAATTTCCTTTGTGTGAATTGTTACTGAGATAAAATGTTCAAGCATAGGAACCCTTAGCACACTACAAATACATACACCAAACCAAGAATGAATACAGTAAATCTTCAACAATGTAAATCAATATAAAACAATTGGGGCCAGCATAAATCTTTACAATAACCATGCCATGTGCATGTCTGGTCCACTAACACAGACTCGCTCAGATAATAAATAACTTGTTCCGAGAGATGGAGGCGGGGAAATCAGAGAAGCAAATCCGATTCATGTTAAGTCCAAGTAAATATGAAACGCCTGCCAAAACTGCCAGTAGAGTTTCCGAATATGTTATATATTTTCATCATGTGGATTAAAAAAACTGAAAGAAAGGGTGATTTTTTTTCTTTGCTAGTAATAAGGTAGGCAAAGATTTTGCCTTTTTTTTTTTCTACTTTGCAGGAGGAAGTATTCTACAAAATCCACATAGGTCAGGCTAAGAGACTGTTCCTAAGGTGTGCAAAGGACTCCCAGGTGTTGCATGCTGCTTTCAGGAGTATTCTACTTTAGATGGGATGGACGGATTTGGAGCAGGTAGTCTACAGTGCAGGGAGCCCGAAAGTGCTTCCTGATTCAAATGACTGTCCGCTGGAAGCTGTGTTCCTCCACCTTATTTTAGTATACAAAGAAAAATTTGCTAACAATACTGAAAAATCAAACCAAGGTCAGACTGTGAAGTGTTTCATTGCCTGACCGCTCTTGTGTCAGATGGAACACTGAGTCTATGGAACAGATTTTCCCACATGATGGATGAATCTGAATGACTGAACAGACTCAAAAACATCTGTGGAAATCTCGTTAGCAAATGTAATCCATGCCTTTTCCTTCTCCACGTCCCCTCACTAGCATGGAGACTTCAGCATATCAACCATCAGAATAATTAGAATTCTTGGGAACAAGGCAATTAATGTACTTTTAATTCATTTTCTAAGATAAACATGCTATGCTAACACAAGATTTGAGCAATGTGAAGACATGGGCATAAACACGGCCAAGAAGAACCCTGTACACATCCCAGAAAAGAATGACCTCTCACTTTCTGGAAGGCAAACTCCATAATTCATCCAATGTGCCACCAGCTTGATGCTGTTGGCTTTCTCTGTTGTTATTGTCTTCCCAATCCAGTGCAGGCTGCTACTTCATAAAAATGACTTACTAGAGGGATGAAGTGTTTAGCCCAGCAGTTAAGACATCAACAGAGATGCTCACATTTCATATCAGAGAGCCTTAAAGCAAGTCCCAGCTCCACTCCTCTGTTCTATTTTCCCGTTAATGTGTACACTTAGAGGCAACAAATGATGGTTCAAGTGGTTGAGTCTAGACTGAATTCCTAGTTCTGATTGGTCAAGCCTCAGTCACTGCAGGCATGTGAGGTGTGAGCCAGTGGAAGAGAGGGCTCTATCATGCACTTTCAGTTCTATCTCTGTCTCTGTTATACACACACACACACACACACACACACACACATAAATAAAATAAATAATCTGCAAAGAACTTTCTAGAAAGGTCAAATGTCAAATGTAGACTATTAAGACCAGAAAGGTGCTTGGCATAATGCTTGGGGCACCTGTCAGGTTGTCCCCATTCCATGTATATCGAAATGTATGGTCTAGTCCTGGATTTGCTTCTGATTCTGATTTCCAACTAACGGGCACTATGAGAGGGATCAGGTGACACTTTGAATAGCTAGATCCTTGTCACACATGGAATACTCGATCTCGAGTTCCTGGCCCCTGACTTCAGCCTGACTCCGTTCCAGCTTTTGTGGGCACTGCTGATTATCAGTGATGGGAGGCTCTTTGTTTCCCATCTCTTTTTGTCCCTCTCTCTCTGTATTTCAAATAAATCAAAATTTTAAAAGTAAATCAACACAAGATAAAAGATTTAAGAGATTAAAAGAATTAAAAATATAAGCTCAATGTGTTTATTCTATGTAATACACAAGGAATAATCTGATTATATTAAGTGTTATGAGTCGTTTACTCTTCATTTCTGTGTTTGTCTTTCTGTAGATCAGCATTGTACTCTACGGACCATTGGCCACCTGCCCAGCACATTCTTGGTATCACTGTACTGGGGGATATGTCTTGGGAGAAGGGGTGACAACCTGGAGAATCAACAACCATATTTCAAATTCTGACATTTAAATTAGAAGCAAACTTACAGATAATATAGACTTTCCCTTTACATGTGGGAAAAATTGCACAGAGACCAAAGTCTCTTGCTCCAAACTAGAAGGAATTAGATGTGAAATCAACAATAAAATCCAGGATGTGAAACTCAAATTTTTCACATTCAGGTCTAGACCAGTAGTATTATTTTGGCACTTTCTAGTTTGGCATGATATCCTTCACTTTAAGGAATTGAAGGCCCAGGGGAGAAAAAAAAAATCAACGTTGTTCTTATAAAATTAAATGAACACAGATGCAGTAACTAAGAGTAAGTAAGATAGGTTAAAAAATGACCCGGTAAATATGAGAGTGCTTCCAAAAATTCATAGAAACATGGAATTCAGAGATACCCAATTTGGTGCAAAAATTGTGAAATTCATGCAGAGTTTTTTTTAATAATTCACACACTATCTTTGAACTTTTTACAAAATTATCCTACACATATCCTTATTATTATTTGTTTATTCACGTATGAAAGTATAAAAACAGAGATGGAGAACACCCATAGAGAGCACCCATCTGGTTCTCTCTCCAAATGTTTACCAAAGCTAGCACTTCTTCTTTTACATGTATTATTCAAGAGACAGGCAGACAGACAGGAAGTTCCTATTGGCTACTTTATTCCCAAGTCTGCAATAGCCACCTTGGACCAGGCTGAAGTCAGTAGATAGGAACTGAGTCCACATCTCCCACACTAAAGGCAGGAACCCAGTTACTTGGACATCACCTGGGTCCCCCTCAGGGTCTGCAGGAAGTTGAATCCAGGAACTAGAGGTGGCCATGGAACCCAGGCACTCTGAGAAGGGATACAGACGCCACAACGGCTGGACCACCTACCTGCCAATCCCTTCCGTTTTTCTTTAAATACTTTTAAGTAAACCTGATACAAAGGAATTCAGAAACATTTGCTAGTTTTACTCTGGTGCTAAAAAGTTTTTCAGATTCTATAAGCTTCAACAAAACCATCAGCAATACAGCAAAAAAAAAAGTATTATTTTCTGATAAAATAACAGAAATATATGAAAATCAGCAGTTCTCAAACAAGAAGAATTTTGCCTTCCACCTCAATCCCTATGTAGGGATCTTCTGGCAATACTTGGAGACAGTTTTGGTTGTCACAACTAGAGACAGAGAGATGCTGCAGGCATCCACTGGGCAGGTGCCAGAGATGCTGCTAAAC